AAGAAAACGTAAACCAATGAGGATTCAAAATGAAGTAACTTTTTTCCCCAGTGAACAAAATGTGTAAATATTTGTCGATTGTCTTGGCTGTTCACACCTTTCTTCTAAAACCTTGCGTGGGTGACATCCTTATCGGCCCCGCAACATGTTTATTTTGAATTTTTTTTCTATTAGGTTGGTGCAAAAATAATGACGTAATAATGTCGTTTTTTGACCTTAAAAAATACGTCAAAAACGACATTATTACGTCATTATTTTTGCACCAACCTAATAATAATTTAATGTATTGTGTTTAATTATTTACGTATTAATTTATTTAATTTGAAATCTTACAAGGTCTCAAGTTAATCGTTTTCTTTTTAATTTTCCAAAAATCTTATTTTTTTTATTTTTTAATACGCCCACGTCGTTACCAAATGGAACCCATGATTGAGGTTTAAAGTGGTTTTAACGGCAATACCCTGGAAAATTTACCCAAGCCCTCACGGTACTTCCTCTTTTGGGGACCCCCTCATGTGTCGGCCAATAAACCCAGCTTCCTCCCGAAGGTGAAGTACTGCTTGGGAGGAAGACCTCCTGGGCTTGGGCTTATGATTTTTTTTTATTGAAAATCCCTTGCATATGCTTTCGACTATGCAGAGTTAGGGTATGATTTTATGTTTATGTAGGTTGGCTTGGGGGAGGAGTATTTCTTTTACGAAAGGAGATATTTGAAAAGATCCAGTGCCTAAGATAACATCTCGATCAATATTTACAATTTCAAGAACCTTTTGTCTAATATCTACGTATGTTATTTTTATTTTCTTTTAATAAGCGTGGAATTATTAAAATCAAAGTTGTTTGTTGAACTTATTTCTGTTTATAACACAGTGAGCTTTCAGAATATTTTAGAATGTTCTTAAATTTAGAAATATATGGAGAACTTAACGAGTAATTTATGAATTTTAATCTGCCATTTTTTTATTACTGTAAACATCATTTTAATGAACGCGCGTATTTGAGTAAATACCTACCTCATTTTTCTGAAAAGGCGAATTAAATCTCCAACGGCCTTTGTATATAAAGTCTTATTAAAGAAAACATAACAGCGGACAACTTCTCCAGAACGTACAAGCTCTACGGACTCGTCATCAATGTCTGAAAGACCTTAGTCATGCACCAAATATGAGTGGGACATCAATTACTACCTGGAGAAAAAATCACCATCAACAGACTGGACCCGGAGAATTTTGAACAATTTCCATATTTTGGTAGCGTATTATCATCAAATGCATTGCTGGAAAACGTCTATAACGAAATCAAGGCCGTCCATGAAGCATACGAGAAGCTACTCAAAAGAGTCTTCGGCAATCCTGGGCTAACACAAACCGCCCAGTTCATGGTCTACCAAGCTGATGTAATCTCGACTCTACTGTCCGCCTGTGAGACCTGGGTACTCTACCGAATAGAGATCCTTAAACTGGAGAGATTCCATCAAATGAAACTTCCTGCGGAACACGTGGCAGGACTGGATCACAAACAACGATGTTCTCCGCGCAAAGATGAAGAACCTAGAAGCCATCCTGGCTCTACACCGACTTTGATGGGCCAGACAACTTCTTCCAGAACGCACAAGTGTTACGGACTCACCATCAACTTGGCAAAGACCTAGGTCTTGCTCCAACCATGACGAAGATATCAGCCATAGCCTGGATTCAAAATCATTATCCACAGACTAGACCTGGAGAATGTTGAACAATTTCCATATGTTGGTAGCGTATTATCATCAAATGCATTGTTGAAAAAGACGTCGATAACGAAATCAAGGCCGTTCATGAAGCATACGAGAAGCTACTCAAAAGAGTCTTCGGCAATCCTGGGCTAACACAAATCACCAAACTCATGGTCTACCAAGCTGTTGTAATCTCGACTCTCCTGTCCGCCTGTGAGACCTGGGTACTCTACCGAAGACCAAGGTCCAACTACGGCCGGGATATCAACTACAACCTGGAGTCAAAGTCTCCATCAACGAACTGGACTCGGGCAATTTTGCACAATTTCCATATCTTGGTAACGTATTAACATCAAATACATTCACAGAAAAAGACGTCGATAGCCGAATCAAGGCCACCCACACAAACCACCAAACTCATGGTTTACCGAGCTGTTATAGTCTCAACTCTTCTTGTAAGCCCGTGGGACCTGGGTACTTTACCAAAGAGACATCCACACATGAAACTTAGTCAAATCCTGCCGGACACATGGTAGGAGCCGATCACAAAATACAAACTTTCTCCTCTGCGCAAAGACGGCGAGCCTAGAAACCATAGACTTAGAAATTGATTAAATATACATTATTTACATTATTCGGGCTATTGTTCTCATCTTTGTCGCCATATTTATTACAACGTTTCGGCCGTTGTACTCTCCGGCCTTCTTCAGGTGGTTGGAATGTCGAACTGAATCCTTTATTTCGCTCACTGGGGTAAACTGTTCTAGTTCCACGTGCCATGTTTAATGG